AAGCTGCTACTGATCCTCCAGTATGTTTAAGCATGGGTTTATCTGAATTAGATGAAGCAGAATATGAAGAATTTCTTAAAATAATGGTGGAAGAAAATTCTTCATCAGCTTTAGCAAAACATTTTTAAATAATTTTTATTTTAATTAATTTTGTTATTGATGTTTTTTTTTGTAAATAGTTTACATCATCAATTTTATATTTGACTCCGAAATGATTTTTTTTTGTAAATAGTTTACACCATCAATTCTTTATTTTTATGTGGAGAAAATTCCATTTTTATAATTATATTGATGTAAGTATATTAATTTTTTATAAATGTATGATTACGAAATTCACTATTTGTATTGCTTATTTTTTTTTTTAATAAAAATTACACTGTATTTTGCTATTTTATTGATATTAACATTGTGTTAAACATGATTCTATCCTACAATCGCTAGTTTGAATTTAAACCACCAGGCAGCGTATTTAAATCCTCAGTTCCCCAATACGATCATTATTTCCAGAGTTATTGATTATCAAAGTCAAAAAAAGGTACGCCCTTATGGCTCCCGGTAGATACCCTGGGTGCCATAAGGGCGTACCAAAATTTTTTTTTGCATTTCTGCCCGTTTCAGGCATAACTACGTCGATTCCCGGAAAAAAATTTTTTATACGCCCTTATGGCTTTTCAAGGGTATTTTTTTCGATATACGCCCTTGTGGCATCAGCAACGCGATATTCTCCACTCTTTTTATTATCAACATGTTCTCCACTTTTTATTATCAACATGTTCTCCGCTTTTTTATAATCAACATATAATTTTTCGCACACATAATTTCATTCCAATGCGGCTGTGGACCGACTTGTGCTTTCTGTACTGTATTCACCCTATTCCTCACCCTTTTCTAACGGTTGTTGGAATAGTGGCGATGGGGAAACCACAGAGAAAACCCATGCCAGTACAGTCGGCTACCGGAGCGATCTCCGACGGTTGGCATTGGAACTATTCGAATAACCGTCGGGGATCGAACCCTCGCCTCACGACAAGATGCACGAACGAACTAATGGGATAATGACTTAGTCCGCTCGGCCATCATGCCGCTTAAAAAAAGAAAAAAATACTTATTTAAACAGAATCATAAAATAAATTCTAAATAAAGACGTGTTGGAAAATATTACACTGAGCTTTTATGTACAAAAACTATTGCTTATCTCAAAGTCTATACATCAAAATTGTTAAACTTTAACTATCACACTGATAGAAGGATTTGTTTATATTAAATAAGCTTTATTAATTGTTAACAAATGATTTTTTAACATCGTAGGATTTAATAAATATTTATTAACAGTTAATAAATTATTTGTTAAATACGATTTATTAAATGTTAATAAATATTTTTTAACAGTTGAAAAACATTTATTAACAGCTAGTAAGTAATTTATTAAGTTCAATTTATTGACTGTTAATAAATATTTATTAATGGTTAATGAATATTTGTTAACTGTTAACAAATATTTATTTTAAATAAAATGCAAAAATAGCAATTTTCTTTTGACACTTTTTATAACTCTATAGCTGGAATACATGATAATAATTCAATTCACTAAATAAATTAACGTTTTTAATATTTAAAAATATAATTAGGAGCTCTGATAGAATTTTTTATTTTACAATAAACGTTATTAAAATGTAATATAATTAATGCAAACAAATAAATAAAATTTTGCTTTATTAAATAATGAATTTTATTAAATTGCAGTGTATTTTCTTAACTATTGACAATTTTAAAGATATAAGCTCATCGTGATGTTATACTTATCAAGAGCTTTCATTTGAGTACCCACATGCATTTTTGATATATTTTATACATATACATATATATATAATATATATAAATATATGAAAAATTGATGTGGGTACTCAAATGAAAGGTCTTGATGAGTGTAACACCAGAATGAGCTTATATCTTTAAAAATGTCAATAGTTCACCAGATACCAGGTCGTTTCTTAATTATGTTAAATTGCACTGTACTTTCTTAACTATTGACGTTTCTAAAGATATAAGCTCATCCCGATGTTACACTCATCAAGAGCTTTCATTTGAGTACCCACTTGCATTTTTAATATATTTTTCATATATTCATATATATAAATATATAAAATATATGAAAAATTAATGTGGGTACTCAAATGAAAGGTCTCGATGAGTGTAACACCAGAGTGAGCTTATATCTTTAAAAATGTCAATGTTTTACAAGATACAAGGTCATTTCTTAATTATGAATCCTGGAGATAATTTTTTTCATTTTATCTTAATAATATAGATAATTTATAAAGATAATTTTTGTTTATAAGCAATCTTCATATCATATGACATTGCAAGCGAAACAAATAAATATTTATTGAATGTTAAAAAATATTTAATAAATTAAATAATTATCTTCAAAAAAATTAAATTATTAATAGTTAATAAATTCTTCTATAAGTGCAACTTGAAAAAAAATTTTATTATATAACAATTCAACTTTTTTTTTCTAAGGCTGATAATTATTATTTTTTTTTTTTTCTAACTATTGATCTAGTTTATTTATCCGGCATAATTATTGGCTATGATTAAAAGAAAAAATTGCTTATCATATTTAACTCATCAATTCCATTTTAATTGCCAGTCTTTAAAAAATAAAAAGCCAGAAAGAGATAGAGATAGAAAAATAGAAAAGGAGATTTGATTTAATGGTAAATTAAAAAAAAATGAGTATGCATCGATGGATTATATCCGGATACGATTGTGTATCGCGTGATGCGTTAATTACAAGAACCGTTGCATGCTCTCGCGCGTTTGTTATTTTTTTAATTAGATTATACTAAGCTTATGTGACCGTGAAACCTTTGGACCACGAGGTCGAGAAGGATGATAGGAAGTTAAGCGGCTTCTGTGTGTCCGGTCTGTACACGGTGTATAAGTACAACGTCAATTTGTCGGTGTCGTAGATATGACTCGCTGTCACGTGTGGATTGTACATGATAGTACACTAGATAGTACCCTAACTGATGTATCTATCAACTCATACTTTTATTTACTTCTAAATAATAGCTTGCTTGTTGTTATGTTACTAGCTACTATCAACAACTTGTTACTACAGTTAATTTATTATCGGAAAAGCCGACGCCCGGCTTCAATAGGATTATTACATTCTAACACCTGGATGTAAAACATTTACGCGGGAAACCATAGCCACTTGGTAACAACAAGTGTCGTTGACTCTTGATGTGTTACTAAGCGCAATAAAACCCTGATACTGATATTGATACTCAGACTGTAATAATATAACAGTTGGATTCATTTTTGCTGATTAAATTATAACTAATGCTTCAATGAAAGTATATAAACCAGCTATTTAATTTTTAATTATAATTAATTATAATTAAGGGGATTTAAAAAACAAATGGATTATTATACACTGTAAATAATTACTATGTTAGATACGTCTGATCGTTCCACACTTTTGAGAAATCTCTTGGATCGGGATGGTAAGCACGTGAGGTATTTTCAGTTTGGCCTAGTTTATCGTGAGACTGCACGCGGTCGATCGAAAGCCCGACCCGCGGGACAGTCCAAGTGTAACTAAATTGTACACACGCACTAACTTAAACTCTTTTTATGTATATGTTTATTTATTCATTTATATTATAAATATCAATAAAATAGGCAACATTTATCTCAATGAAACAGATGATCCATGCTTCTAGGTTTCATTTCATGAGTTTAATAATATTCTTTATTTTTTTATTATTTGCTTTCAAATGCTCCAATAAAATAGTATATTTTATTTATTATTTTAATAAAAACACACTTAAGAAAATTTATGACTAAACATTTTGATTGTAAGTAAAATTGTTAAAACGTTTAGAAATATTACAAGTGTATAATATTTCTTCTCAAAAATTTTTATTAAAAAATTTTTTTACTCCAGACTATTGAGTAGAAAATTAAATTGTAAAATTTTATCTAAAATTTTAAATCCAAATTATTATTATTTGCTTTTAAATACTCCAATAAAATAGTATATTTTATTTACTATTTTAATAAAAACACACTTAAGAAAATTTATATCAAAACACTTTGATTGTAAGTAAAATTGTGGAATTTTTAGACAAGTGTAATATTTTTTCTCATAAATTTTTATCCAAACTACTGAGTAAAAAATTAAATTGTAAAATTTTATTTAAAATTAATTTTTTAATGCTACATATAAAAAAATTAATTTTTTAATTTTAAACCCACATTATTATTATTATTATTTTTATTATTATTATTATTATTATTTGCTCTTTAGTACTCCAATAAAATAATATATTTTATTTATTATTTTAATAAAAACACACTTAAGAAAATTTAAGTCTAAACACTTTGATTTTAAGTAAAATTGTGAATTTTTTAGACAAGTGTAATATTTCTTCTAATAAATTTTTATCAAAAAATTTTTTTACTCCAAATTACTAAGTAGAAAAATAAATTGTAAAATTTTATTTAAAATTAAAAATTAATTTTCAATGCTAAAAAAAAATTAATTTTTTTATTTTAAATCCATATAATTTCAATCAACAATAATAAATTCAATTTTGAATTGTAAATATTTATTTACACCACTGACAAATTTAATTAAATCCATTCGAAAGGTCGTGCTTAATTAAAATTTGAGGTGAAAATAATTATGAATTTATTGTAAAGTAAATATTGTAAGAGTATGAAAGAAAAGACAAGAGATTCTTCAGTGGCTGATGGCCACTGGTCGTTGAATTGAGCAAAGCATCTTTTTTATATTCAGCCTCTTACTTAGCAAGACAACAACGAAATCTTTGTCTCGTTGGTTGGAATTAAATCCTCTTTGATGATCACTCCGGGTCTCTGAGTCGCGTGAATGTAATTTATAATGAACTGAACATTTTATCATGAGTTAATAAATTAAAATAAATAAATAAACGTATGTACGTGTGTATACTCATTGTGTTTTATTATTTTCAGGAAAAAACCTCTATAATAATGAACACGTAGCTATTAAAATGGTAAGTGTTTAATTTTTATCTCTTATCTTTTATTTACTCTCAGAAAAACTTTATTGACTATTTATTTTTTTTTTTTTTAGGAACCAATGAAGTCAAAGGCGCCACAGCTTCATTTAGAATATAGGTTTTACAAATTATTAGGTACACATGGTGAGTTCATTTAAAATATTTTTAAACCATCGAGCATTAGTTTCGTAATTGCCTACAAAACTTTTTACATTCATTCTTTATCTCTATAAAAAAGTAAAACTAGTAGATGAATTAATAAATATTTTTTATTGATTATTTTTAAATCAATAATTCACTCTTTAAAAAATTTATAGTCGTCGGTACTGTTTAAAATAAAATTTAATTAAGTTCAACTACGAAAGATTACACTGATAAAAAACTAAGTAGAAAAATTTTTTATTTAAGTAAAATTCACTTAAACCGAGAAGAACTTTTTAGTTAAAGAATCTATATTACAATTATTAAGAGAGTAAGAAAAATTTTGTTTCCAAGATAGTCATACGATAAAATCGGTTTTTTTTTAGTGAAATTTAGGCTTATTGCAAAGATCTTGATTTGAATTTGTGCATTTTCAAAGTTTTATTTCATTCTCACCAATAGTAAATTTATGATGATAAGTATTTAGGCCGTATTCGAAAATACTCTATCTCTAAATACATAACTAAGAAATGACCTTGTATCTTGTGAAATATTGACATTTTTAAAGATATAAGCTCACTCCGACATTACACTCATCAAGAGCTTTCATTTGAGTACCCACATCAATTTTTTATATATTTTATATATTTATATATATCATATATATGTATATATGAAAAATATATCAAAAATTCATATGGGTACTCAAATGAAAGCTCTTGATGAGTGTAAGATCGGGATGAGCTTATGTCCTTGAAAATGTCAATAGTTAAGAAAATACAGTGCAATTCAACGTAATTAGGAAACGACCTTGTATCTTGTGAAATATTGACATTTTTAAGGATATAAGCTCATCCCGATGTTACACTCATCGAGACCTTTCATTTGAGTACCCACATCAATTTTTCATATATTTTATATATTCATATATATGTATATATGAAAAATATATGAAAATGCATGTAGGTACTCAAATGAAAGCTCTTGATGAGTGTAAAATCAGGATGAGTTTATATCTTTAAAAACGTCAATATTGAAGAAAGTTCAATTAAAAAAAAAAAATTAATTGTTATACAGTTCATAACACGCATATAGAAGGTGTACCGGAGGTGTACTACTTTGGTCCATGCGGTAAATATAACGCACTGGTAATGGAGCTCCTTGGACCGAGTTTGGAAGATTTGTTCGACTTATGCGGGCGAAGATTCACACTAAAAACAGTTCTCAGCATAGCAACACAACTGGTAATTTAAAAACTTCTAATTAAATGGATATTTGTCGATATGTGTGTCTGTGTATCTCTATCTATCTGTCTGTCTGTCTGTCTGTCTGTTGTATAGTATAAACTATTCTGAATGTACAATAAACACCGGGGTGTCATTGCCCTTGGTTTGCACCAGCAAACCAACACTAAAGTCATAAATCCTAACTAACAACACGCCGTATTCATATTGTTTTACCATACAGCTCCATAGGATAGAGTACGTACACAGTCGACATCTGATTTATCGTGATGTCAAGCCGGAAAATTTCCTTATTGGACGTAGTACGACTAAACGAGAGAAAATAATTCATATCATCGATTTTGGATTGGCCAAAGAATACATAGATTTGGATACTAACAAACATATACCTTACCGGGAACACAAGAGTCTTACCGGTACTGCGCGTTATATGAGTATCAACACTCATCTTGGAAAAGGTTTGATATTTATTTATTTATTTATCTACTTACCTACTTACTTACTTACTTACTTACTTACTTACTTACTTTAAAAAGAAAGAGGGGCTAAAAATTGGGGTGAATTTTTTTTATTATTATGCTTCAAAAGTAAAAGAATTAAAATCTAAAACTGTCAATCATTTTATCGTTTAAAGTATAAAAAATTGTCGGTCTAAAAATTACTTTCAATTAAAAAGATTAAAAGCAAGATTAACTACTTGTAATTATACTTAAAAATGTTTTAAACTGTTCAAATTAGCTCCTCACTCTTTTTTTTTTAGGTAGATTTCATAGAAATCAATCTTTTGCATTGGTTCTCATGTCGGAATTTCGTCGTAATATCTCTTAAGTAGTCGAGTAAAGCTCAAAAATAACGTTAGTTAAAAAATTTATATATGTATGTAATATAACGTGGGATGTTGCCGCAATTGTGTCTACAATTCTTGACGGATCTTATAATAATCTTGAATGAGTTTGAAGATGAGCGAAATCCTTCAATAAGTTTAGAAATGGCAGCTCTTTAAAATTATCAAAATAGTGAAAATCACGTTTTTGGTGACTTCATTGATGTATAATTTTTGATTGAAAAGAGATGGCTAATTTTTGATAAATTAATGTGAAAGTTCATGAAATTACCTTCAATTTGGCGTATATAACATTGACATTTTGACCATTTTTAGTTATTTTATCAAAATTAAGAGTTTTATTGAACCATTTTCAGGCAATGTGTAGTACAACCGACTTATGAATGTTATTCTGTCGAGAATTTTCAACAGATCCTTATGAAATTTATTATATAGATTCCTAGGACAATTAGCTTGCATGAGCCCTAAAATCAGCGAAATATTTCGATTAGTTCAGAAATAGTAGCTCTTCAAAATGATCAAAATAGTAAAAATTAGGTTTTTGATGACTTCATTTATGTATAACTTTTAATAGCAAAAAGATAGCTGATTTTTGATAAATTCATGTGAAAGCTTATAAAATTCCTTTTAATTTGACATGTATACCGTTAACTTTTTGACAATTATTAGTTATTTTATCGAAGTTAAAAGTTGAATTGAACCATTTTCAGGCAATGTGTAATACAACCTACTTATGTATGTTAAAATAAATTTCATTGCATGTCAAACGAAAGTTATTGAGATAAGATGATGATTCATTCTATGAAATCTACCTTCCATTTCGGGCGTCTTTTTTATACTTTTTAATTACTAAATTATAAAAACTAAAACGTTATATTATTTCAGAGCAAAGTAGGAGAGACGACTTAGAAGCACTCGGTCACATGTTTATGTACTTCCTTCGAGGCAGCTTGCCCTGGCAAGGACTGAAAGCAGACACGCTGAAGGAGCGCTATCAAAAGATCGGTGACACAAAGCGAGCGACACCAATAGAGGTCCTTTGTGATGGGCATCCCGAGGAAATGGCCACTTATTTACGTTACGTACGGAGATTAGACTTTTTCGAGACACCTGATTACGAGTACTTGAGGAAACTCTTCCAGGATCTTTTCGAGCGGCGAGGATTCGTCCATGACGGCGAATTTGATTGGACGGGCAAGGCTATGGTGGGTGTTAAATGAGCTTCAAATTGCCTGTTAGCATGCCCAAAAACAAATAACAATGTCCAAAAAAATATATAAAAATCTATAAATCTCTATCTATCTCTCAATCTGTCTGTCCTGTCTATCATGTGATAGTCCAAAACAAAAGTGCTGTGTCGAATGGATTAATATTGTAAATATTAGCTTTTAAATTATAATATTTTAACTTTGCATGCTGCCTATCAATGTATTATCTAGCCTCCTAACTTTCAACAGCTTCGGCAGTTGAGATTTGCTGCACCATCTTGGGTTGGGAAAACAAAATCGGACAAGGTTCGTCACTGCACTGATACCTCCTCACAGAGATACAATACAGTACCTACTTGGAGATTTTATTTATTATCATGTTATCAAGTAAATTGTTGTTGTCACTATCACACACTATTACGCTATGTTTACATGCTATTTTCGTGCTTTGTTATCAACAATCAGCAATTATGTTATATTTACTTGGTACTTATTTTTTGACTCTTATATTATTCTTTACACAAGTTAAATCCACTATCTTGAGGAAATCACATTTTTGTACAGATAAAACACACATTTTTTTTTTTTTTTTTTTTTAAACTAACATCTGTAGTTATACTATTTTTCCGGATTACACAATATTTATTTCGAGTGGCGTCTTGCATTTCCTGGACTCTATTCTAAAACTTTCAAGTACGTTGTACACAATACTAATATGTCTTGTATTGACATAAAAATTTTTTAAAAATAGTTTCAACTATAAATAAGGTAAAAGCCCCAATTATTGACACTATAAGAGACAAATTTTTTTTTTAAGCAATCAAATATCAATATCGTTGAATTTTGTTCGTGGTAATGTCTCAAGTGCTGTTTTTATTAATAAATTTATTTTTTTTTAATAATTAATATTTAATATTTTGAACTGACAGTAATTATTTTCAATTTTTTAATTAATTAGAATTTAATAAAAATTTATATGATAGTCATTCTCATTAGAGATAATTAAATTAAATATATTTAAAAATAATTTAGGGTGTCAAAAATAAAAAAAAATTTTTTTGTTTAAGAAATTTTTTATGAAAATTATTTTTATTCTGCGTAATTTTTTTTAAAATCATAATAATAATAATAATAATAATAATAATAATAACTAACATGAAATATAAATATAAATATTTAGACCCCTGTCAATAATTAGGGCTTTTACCTTAGTAGTAACAACTAAAATACAATCATAAAAAATGATAAGTATATTAATTGGTATGAATTTACAAAACAAGTAATAAAATAAAAATTGACAATAAATAAAATTAATTTAAACCTATTTGTAATTACAGTCAACACCAGTTGGATCGATGCAAACAGGACATGAAATAGTTGTGTCGCCCAATCGAGATCGGCATCCTACCACTTACAAGGTAATAAAAATCGCGGGTCATGTTGTCTCTAGCATGCGCGTGTATAGCAACACACACTTTTCTGTTATTAAAGTAACCGCATGTCCTATCTAAAGTTTATTGTCAAAACAATAAAACGCCGTTATTAATTAATTATCGAGTTAATATGACAAGTATATTAATTAAATCGTATAGTCGCATCGAGAAATAGTTACTCAAATAAAATCGGTCTTTAAATTTAAAGTCTAAGAATTAACTTAACAATTTTTAGAGATAGTATAATTTTTAAATAAAATATTTAGAAAAAAAACGGCGAGAAAAAATAATAAATAAAACATTAGTACGTCGTATATAATTTATTTTTTTTTTTATTAAATTGAACTACTATTCGCTATTTGGATTTACGTGACCCACCGATCTATAGGATTATGATGATTATGAGGAGGAGGTCATTCTGATGATGGATGAGGTGAACGTGGAAATTCACGGGAGATATGTAAGCCTCGTAAAATTTATTCGTCAAGATAAAAAGTAAAATTTATTTGGAATTAATTAATACACCGTAGCCGCTAAATTTATTATTATTTTATTTAATTATTTAATTATTAATAATATAAAATAAAATAAAATTGTATTATTATTATTATAATAATAATAATAATTAAAAGTTTAGTCAGTAAAAAAATAAATTAAATTGCAGTAGGCAAGAGGTAGATTTGTTGGCGCTAAAAAATTACAGTCGAACTGACTATAACAATCGCGTTATCCTAAATACTGTTGCTATAATTATTATTATTATTATTATGATTGTTGTTATTATGATATGATTGATCGGTGATAAAAGGAATAGTCGCAAAATGAAATGAGATTCTAAATAAAAGAAAAAAATAGTGGATTTTTTCTATAAAATGATAAATCAAAGCTACTAATATAAGGATCATCTCGCGTTTTCCTTTTAACTCGATTCAGAGTCAACTAACAAGACACATTTCCAACAATGTCCCGCTTGTTCCTCCAGGACGTGGCAGGTGGAGGGGTGGGAGGAGGGGGCGGTAGAGGGGTGGGAACCACATGGCCTGATACAGTCAAACAAACGGGGGCTGGTGGTACATTGACGCCTGCCGACAGACATGGTTCAGTACAGGTGAGTGAACCCGCATTATCCTACTTCCAATTTTTTATCCTCTTATTCCATTACTCCATTTACATATCCTTAAAAGTAAAGAAATAAAATAATAAAATATCTTCTCTGCGCGTGTTACCATAATTTTTTTATTTTATTGAGTTTATATTCATCCATACTTATAAGCCGATTCGTTAATCAATGGCTCAATAAATATTTCTTTCTAGTTACGGCATCATCGGATTATGGTCAGTTCATAAGCAATTAATTTAATCCTTTAATCATTTATTATAAATATACCTCTTTATTTTATTATTTATCGATTAACGACGCATGGTACTCTGTATCCTTGTCTCTTTGATAACAATTCTCTCCTAGGTATTTTTTTTGCTAATTACCCTAATTAACTATGTAAGTTAGTTACTTTATTTTATCTATCAATATTACAAGACGATTATTGACTAATTTTTAATTATTATTGTTATTATTAATTTTTAATTATTTGTTGTTGTTTTGATATCCGTAACCCACTAATTAAATGTCGTTTAGAATTATATTGTTATAGCCTGTAAAAAATTTCTGGTTTTTAATTGGTATTGTTAAGAAAATAAGCAAAATTTTTTGGCTATTGAAATTGGCATTGAAAAATGCTCTATCTCTAGATACATAATTAAGAATTGACCTTGTATATCGTGAACTATTGACATTTTTTAAGATATAAGCTCATCCCGGTGTTACACTCATCGAGATCTTTCATTTGAGTACCCACATCAATTTTTTATATATTTATATATATTATATATATGTATATATGAAAAATATATCAAAATGCATGTTGGTACTCATATGAAAGCTCTTGATGAGTGTAGGAACAGGATGAGCTTATATCTTTAAAAATGTCGATAGTTAAGAAAGTACATTGCAATTTAACATAATCAAAAAACGACCTAGTATCTTGAAAACTGTTGACATTTTTAAAGATATAAGCTCATCCTGATGTTACACTCATCGAGACCTTTTATTTGAGTACCTACA